AATCCCGTGCAAATTCCGTATCCAAACCATATTTTTAGTGATACGGAATTGTGCATTTTTCCGTATCCTATTATGATACGTTATTTCTAAGGAAAAAAATCGTATAAAAACTTTATAAAAAACGTATCCCAATTTTTTTATAGGGCCTCTAAGGCTCTAACAGAAGAATAATTTTTCGTATCATGTGCAAGCTATTCGTAATTTATATGTATTGTAGGTATAAACTCCGTCGTAAAAACGTTTGCCACATTGATTTTATAAAATAAGTTTTTATTATATGCAATAAAATTAAGAAAATAAAAATAATATGAAAACGAAAAATTCAAGAAAGAAAGTAATTTCTAAATCTAACATTTCACTGAACAAGTAATATGTTTAAAAAAAAATTAAAGAACCAATTAGTAAAATTCTAAATTACTCCTCTAAACTAAATTTACTGCGTCCGAAATGACGTGAATGATTTATTTATCTAGGGGACTGCGGTACTATTTGATTAATGATGTATAATAAATTAAAATACTTAAAATTTTAACACTTAAACTAAATATAACTGCGCCCCAAAATCAATAATTTAGGCCTGCAAGTCACGTATAATTGCGTAATGTCACCTGACTTGCTGTGCGACATAAAATCATATATCCCTTTTCTCAGAATATTTTAATTCCATATCGGTCTCACTCCGAACGTAACACATTATTTTTATCCGAAAATAAATACTCCACTACCGCTACTGCTACTGTAAATGACTCGCTCACGAAATTAAAAAGAATAAAACGACCGAACTTATAGACTTCTTGTGTAAGAAAAACCTGGGAAGACTCCCGAAATTTTAGAAACGCAAGAGGTTAATGGCCAGAACTTTCTCGACTTGGCCCAGGAAGAGCTTGAAAGGTAAAGAATGCCTGGTGGACCTGCGAAAAGACTCGCAAAGTTCGCCAAGGACTGTAAGGAGAAAAGGCTGCGCCCATTCTCCTCGTACAAGACCAAGAAAGACTTGAGTGAGGTGCTACGCAAGTATGGAGTCAAAGATGAACGAATAACATACATACTGCAATTTGTTCCAAGTAAGTTTTCCCCTCCGCTTGTTAACTTCAGTTGATAATATGTTTTACTAACCCGTTATTTTCTCACGTCGAAGAAACCCACCCAATGATGACGACGAGGTTTTGCAGCACTGTATTAAGGAGAGAGCCATTCAAAAAAATCATCCATAAATTTAAATAGTTAATTATTCTATTTTTCTTTCTTTTATTTTTTTTTATTTTCTTCAAAATTGAGATCTTTATTTATAAATGAAATATACATATTGAATATCATTACAATTACTATTTTAAGATAAATTTAGTGATTGTTTAGAAAAATTTTGTTATTTTATTTATTTCTTTTTTGAGATAGTAAAACTCAGGCTAGGAAATATGGGATAGTCGTTGAGAGCAACGAGGCTATCTACTATGAATACTGTATATTTCGTCTATCTTCCACGCGTGCATTCATATTGTCAAAAATCTCGCTGGGAAAGAAATCACGCTAAATCCTCAACTCGAAGTTGTCGGGAGGCCATGTGGATTACGCAATCAAGGCGCTCGAGGAACTAATTTGCATCACGGAGGGGAAGCAACACCAAATAGCCATGGGTTTGCACAGGTTAGTAAACCTTTTTTATTCCAGAGATGAAAAAGACCTGTTTCACTAATTTTTTTCCGTTAACAGAATGTTGTACAATGTGAGAGCGACTACCAAACCAACAAAAGGCGCTTTCGGAAAGGATTACGACTATCTTTATTAGTTATGGAATCATCACCACGGCTACGGAATGGTACTTTCTCCTCTAAATCACGGAAGGAATTTCATGCACGAGTGAAATCGAATACCACGTTAGTCTCACCAAGGCCAACGCTAGAAAACGAAGCCGAATTACGAAAAAATGTGAAGGGGTGATCTCGGTCATTGTTGGGTTACTGAAGGATAGGGTAGACGTTGAGAAGGAGCCAGCATTGAAAAGGCAATGGGTAAAGGAATATTTCGAAAAACGAGAGTAATCGTGTATATTAGCATAGATACCATGTATAGCGGGCAGAATCCCGAACCACTGTATTTATTTTTTCGTGTATTAATAGAGCGAGACTTCTTGCATTTGCTGCAATACTCTCTCATGTATAAATTTTCACCATGTCAGCTAACCCATCCGATCTTGAAGTATCAAGACAGCGTAACATTGAGCTTGTGGCTGAGAATTTCGATCTTAAAAGCGAGGTAGTGAATTTCAAAAGCCTAGTGTTGAGAAACAAGAGCGAAAAAATACAGAATTTGAGAACAGACTCGTGAAAGTGGATCAGGGTTCTGAGGTAGTGGATGAACAACCGCAAGTGAAGACGGAGGAATCAGCTGTTGACACGAAAGTGTATCGCTTGAAGGGGTTCCGCGTTCAATAACGCCAGTTCTACAGGGAATGAGGAAGTAGTGTCTTTCCTGGTCAAAGGAGATGCCCTCGGTTTCCCAGAATGTTAAGGAAGCGAAGTTAGAGGAATCAGCTGTTGATGTGACGCCCTCAGGATTCTCCGCACCCAATAACGCAAATACCAAGTCAACCGAGGATGAGGAGAGGATTAATGAAGAGAAAAGACAGAAGAAAGGGACAGATAAACTTAAGCAGGAATTATTTAACCCCCCTTCGGAGATAAAAGACTTTGATAAAACAAAATCATTTGGCCATATCTACCGAATTATCCTCTGCTTTCAAGCAATAAATCCAAGTTTGTATATATTAAAGCATCGTGAACCCTGAACAGTATTTTAGAATGTTTATGTATCAGTTGCTGACACGTTCGATGCTTGTCCATGTGACTAACCGCAGTTATGTCCACCGTCGTAAGAATAGTTCCTGATCCAGCTAGTTCTAGGTGTTGATCACATCGGATATTCCTTTCAAAAATCGTTAGTTCTGTGTGATGTGCTTATGTATGTCATTGATTTTCGCATATATTTACAATACAGCCGTCTTTTTTCGAAGAAATACAAAAAATGCTTTTAAGTGGAGACGACCGCAGAAGATAGATCATAAAATGGATATAATTTTCCCTATACCGTAGTGGTTAACAGATTATTTGTCATACTACCAGATGAATTTGACAAGCCTTTTGATCATTTTGGTTTTCCTCCGTCCTATGACTCTGTCTTTTTAAAAAAAGCCATGAATAACAGCATAAGCATCTAATGTCTAATAGTGAATCATGTAATCGCAATTTTGTACCCTTGATTTTATCCCTTAAACGGTTTTGCCAGAGCATTAAAATATCGGAAAACAATATAGGAGACTCTCTTAAAGACGAGTAGATCAAGGCAAAAAATATGCGCAGATGCCAGCAAAACAAGAGAACAAATTTATGGCCTCATACACGAATAATACTACGTTAACATAAATGTATATAACATATTGTCATATTACTTAAGTTAATTTTTAGACACATGTATTTACTATTAATATAAATTGATATCCAACTTGATATTCTTTACTAGAAAAAAAGTGTTTGATATCCAAGATATAAAATTAACAATATATAAAAGAAATTTATTGAATAAAACAAAGAAAGGTGAATTTTATAAATGCAAATTCAAACCCACTTTAAGCCTGTTTAATAAGTTCAACGCACCACTAAAAAAATGGTTTCTTAGTTATTTTTACAAGAAAATTTTTAAATTTTTTTTAAAAAAATTAATTTTAAAATCTACTTACCTCATCATTTTCTCCTAATCTTTCATTACAAAAAACCTCTTGAAAAGTATCACTTCCGATAGTAAATTGAGCATCATGACTACATAGAAATTCAACTTGACCATCTTGAGTTCCATATCTTTTCTTAATGATACTAAGATTAACAATATCATTTGATTTTAAATATCCTTCATAATTTTCTAATCCACTATCATAACAAATCTTCCAAATTGTCTCACTTCCATTGTTACAATTTACTATGTAAAATAAGTGTTAAAATTTTCCTTTATCCTTACTTATTGTTTTAAATAAATAATTCATTTTGATTACCTTCTGTATGATTACTTGATGGAGATTTGTGGTATTGATACTGATTTTGATATTGGGATTGATGATTTTGATGAATTACAATCTGATGACAAATTCCAAGACAATATTTAGAAATTTTATGTTCTAAACATAAGTTAGTTTTTATAAAACCATTATTATTATTATTATCACAATTGTATATTTTCCATAAAGCATTTGAATCTAGTATTGAACTTCCCATAGAAACCTATAAAATGATTGAATATCATGTTAATCATATTTAATTTAGTGTTAAAAAAATCATTAAAAGTTAAATATAAAATAAAATTTACTAATTGATTTTTGCTTCCAGTTGCATAATATAAACCTTCAATTGAAGTTAAATATTTTCCTGTTGCAACATGCTTTAATGCAACAATGGATCCACTTCTAATTGTATTTGATTCATCCATAACAATTTCTTCGAATTCTTTAATTAATTCATTCATTGAACTGATATTATTCATTCTTTTACCAAAATTAGACAAAAAATAGTAATAATTACTAAGAGCTTTAATAAAATATTTCTTTTGTTCTTCTATATCATTAATTTCTGAATTATAACAAAGGTTACGAAAATCTGTTAAAAATTTCAAAGTATCACCGCCATCTCTTTCAGATTTATATTCTAATGATTGTAATTTTCTTTTATTTAAATTTTTAAATGTTGTAAAAGTAATATCTTTTTTAAGTGCATCACGAAGTTTTACAAGGTCATTAATTTCGGTTGGAAGTATAATATTGGGATTAATTAATGATTTTACAGTAATTAAAAATCCTCCATAACTACCTTCCCACATATTATAATATTTGATTATATCATTTATCCATTCATCTGGATGAATGTTTCCATCATATTTTGGAAAATAATTCATTATCAATGAAGTCTATTTCTTTAGTAAAGAAATTATAAATTTGGATCCAAAAAAATTTTAAGACACACCCAAAAGTAATTGATTATCATTATCAAGTTTTTGCATCTAATTTATTTATCACCAATTTCGACCTAGCATGATCAGATGTCAGTGTTTGCCAAATGACTTAAAATGACAAATAATTCAAATGACAAATAATAAGTCAAATAGCAAATGACTTAAAATGACAGATGACTATGAATAATAAATGATGACAAAAATCCTTTAAATGGTCGAATGACCAAGGTCATTTCTTGAACAGTGTTTTTTTCAGTCCAGGATAGGTCACCGAAAACTCAGTTTCAATTGAATTATAATTGAAAGATATAATGAATTAATCCATACCATAATGAATTAAATATTATCCATTACAAACATTACAATTCTATTATTATCTGAATATGGATCTATGGATTTATTATTGGTATCTAGAAATTAATAATAAATCTCGGACATTATAAAAGCTTACTATTACCACTAATGAAACTAGTTACATTTAATTCATTTAATTCTGAATAAAAATTACAATTTTGGCCAGAATTTATGCAAAATAAAGATTTAAAATTTCAAAACATTTTATATAGACAAAATTTTTTATATGTAAATTTAATGTAAATAAGAGTTTCTTAGATTAATAATAAAGTTATTCATTATTCAAATAAAAATGTCAGAGTCTGATTTTTTTAGATATATTTTTTTCATTCAAAAATATTAAAAATAAGTAGTATGATAACTATTACTTTCATTTGATTGAGAATAAAGTAATAAAATTTCATCACATGAACCTTTATTAAATATATCGAATGAAACATAAATGCATACAACAGGCTTTTGTATGAAAGTTATCTTTTTGATACATATGTATTTGCATATAATAATGTCTGATTTGACATTTTTTTAAAGTTTAGTGTTAGAAAAATAACGCTTAATATCTACTAAGTTATAAATTAATAGGTGTAAATTCTTCTGATTTGAATGTAAATTAAATTCATAAAATTTACTAAAGAAAATTGTATAAATGTAAATTCAAAGTCACCTTAAACTGCTCATTACACCACTAAAAAAAGGAAGTTTAGTTATTTTTATTAAAAAATTAATATAAAGTCTTTTTTCTTACCTCATCAATTCCTCCTAATCTTTCATTATGACAAACAACTTCTTGAAAAGTACCATTTCCGATAGTAAATTGAACATCATTGATTACATAAAAAATTCAACTCGACCATTAATTACACATGATTTCTCAATACTAAGATTAACAATATCATTTGATTTTAATTATTAAATATCTTTCATAATTTTCTAATTTACTGTGTTTTAAATTCCAAATAAAATCATTTCTACCACAACTTACTATAAAAAAATAAGTGTTGAATTTTCTCTCATCTTCAATTATATAATCATTTAATTACCTTCTGTATAATTACTTGCTTGTAGTATTCAAATTGAAAGTTATGATTTTAAACTCCAAGATAACACAGAAATTTTATCTCATAAGCTTATATCAGAATTTATATAATCAAATTTATTATTAATATTATATATATTCCATAAAACACTTGAATCTAGTATTGATTCTACCAGTAAAAACCTATAAATGATTGAATATCATATTATTGATATTTAATTTAATATTAAAAAATTATTAAGTTATATATAAAACAAAAATATACTAATTGATTTTGCTTTCAGTTGTATAGTGTAAATCTCTAATTGAAGATAAATATTTTCCTGTAGCAACATGTTTTAACGCAACAGTAGATCCATGTCTAATTATATTTGATTCATCCGTAACATTTCCTCAAATTCTTAAATTAGTTCATTTATGGAATTAATATTTTTCATTCTTCTACCAAATTCAGTTAAAAAATGATGAATAATCATTTAGAGCTTTAACAAAATATTTTTTTTGTTCTTCTATATCATTAATTTCTGAATTATAACAAAGTATATGAAAATCTGTAAAAAATTTCAAAGTATCGCCACCATCTCTATATTTATTGATTGTAATTTCCTTTTATTTAAATTTTAAATGCTGTAAAAGTACCCTATAAGAAATATGTATACGGAAAGGATACGTTTTGTATACATTTTTTGTTCGTTTTTATAGATTCCTTATACAAATTCCGTTTATTTAATAAGCAATTCATTTTTGAACATTTTTTAAAAAAACTAATGTATAAGAAATGTATACGGAAAAAATTAATCATGCGGAATGTATACGGAATTTTTAAACTTAATATTTTTAGAAGATAATCTTACAAAAATTCCGTATCATAACACGAGATCACATGATTGTTTATTGTTTTGTTTTTTGTTTTTTATATAAACCTTCGATCTTCCTTTCTGTCTTTCCTTTCCTTTCTCTTTCTCTTGTCTTATTTTTGTTATTTTTTCTAAAATTTTCTTCTTTCTTCATCACCCCCTTTTAAAAATAATTTTTTTTTTTCATATCTCACTTTAAAAAAATTTTTTTTTCGTCACTCTCCTTTGAGAAAAAATTTTTTTTCGTCACTCCCTTAAAAAAAAATTTTTTCTTTTATTAAAATTTCTTCTTTCTATTTCTATTTCCTCTTTATAAAAAAATTTTTATTTTTCTAACTTTGACGTCCTCCCTTTAAAAAAAAATTTTTTTTTAACTTTCCTAACTTCGTTACCCCTCTTT